TTGCTCTTACATATGCTGTTCAAACCAATCTATAGAACTTCCATTAGGAATTCACCTAAACTGGCAGAAATACTACTTCTGATGATCTACAAGGATTGCTTGTTTATCTTTTCTTCCTTTCTGTAATTAAATATTCTATTTTACTAGCATCCCTTGTTAAATTGACTCAATTCAAGTTTTTAACCTGCTGTGAAAATGCAAATAAATAACCAGTTCAGTTTTAAGTGCATATTTCTAAATCAATAAAATGTACCTCACCTGGATTGAAAGGTACAGATTAGCATTAAAATTAACAACAGCACTCAAAATTAACAAATCCTGTGAAGTAAAAAAACCTCATTTCCTATGCATGTTTTTCTCCTAGGCATCAAATAACCACATCATCCTTTCCATGTTTTCTGATACTTCTTTTCAACCCTCACCTAATCAGACCAGAAAGAGCACATACAGTAGTTTTTTTCAGGAAAACATTGATATCAATTTGTTGTTATGGTGCTGTCACCAGAACCATGTAATAACTGATTTCTCCTTGTCTTTCCCTCAGCAAGGTGCTAATAAGGGTCTCTATCAAGCAGTGATTCTTGTGGAACTTGTAGAAATGTATTTTTATTACTGTCCCTCTGTCAGGCATTATTGAAGTTCAACAGTGGTTTCAAAAGCTGTCTCATGTAAAGCTGGGCTGCCTCATGTGATCATGGCACTAAGAAACCTGTCAGAAAGCAACCAAACCAATATTGGCCTTAAATAATCAGAAGCCCAAAGAAGAACTAAAAACTTCCAAAAGGTTTTTGGAAATCTCTAAATTATTTTAACAATGACACAACGAAGAAAAAAAGCCAAGAAAAAGGAACTGTCAAAATACTTAATTAGGTTAACAGTTTAAATGTCCTTTGTATTAACTAGTAATATCCTCAAAGGGCTCACTAAATCTGCCAGCCAAATCTGACAGGTTAATTTTGATAGATGACTATTTTTATTATAAAAAGTCCTTTCAAGTTACAGTAAAGAAATTTTTTTCTTCTGCAGTGGTAAACCCAAGCTGCCATTTATTTACAAATACTTGTACAACTCCTACAATATGGAGCAAAGAAAATCACTTAAGATTGCTTTTTATTGAAGTACGCTTTTTTTTTTCCCCTAGAGCCATGCACTCTTAATGTAACTGATATGAACAGCAACAACATAGCGTTGAAATGGAGTCAGGAAGAATTGATTTTCCGACATGGTGATCTCATAGAGTTTGAATGTAAACAGGGATACAGTTTTCTGGAGGCTCCCACTCTGTCTCCTGGGAGGACACAGTGTAACCAGGGCAGACTGAAATATCCAAAATGCATTATGCAAGGTAAAACTATACTTTTTAATCGCCTTTTTAATTCATTGGTCTCAGAGCTATTTAGAAACGATTTGCTTTGGCAGTGCAGACCTAGAGTCTGTTGTAAGTAATAGGTGTTTAGGATTCAACAATACCCATATACACAGGTATCCTTGCACAAGACAGCTATATTGTTAGTTACATCCAAGCATGGAAAACCAAACCACCTTCCTTCGATAGGGAAGGCTATAGAAAGGAGGGAGGAGGTCTTCTCCAAGCCAAGGGAACTAAAAGCTCTGTAGAAAGATAGCTGTAAACCGTTAAATGCACACAAGGGATTTCCTATGGTTAAATTTAAGCAGGAGAGTACATTCTGATCTGAGACATAATGAAAGAAAATACACTGAGAGTTGATAGATAACCAGTGTTGACAGGCATTTCACAGAATCACAGAATCTTAGGGGTTGGAAGGAACCTCGAAAGATCATTTAGTCTAACCCCAAGCATTTAAAGCTGCTGATTTGTTAAGTTTCTGAAGCTGAATGTTTCTCAAATGTTTTTAATGTTATTCTAGCTCCTGGATCAAAATGTGACTCTCCACCTTCGATTGTGAATGGAGCTCTTATTCTCCCACCCCTGACCCAGTATGAGAGTGGTTCTTCAGTTCAGTATAATTGCTTTGACTATCATTTTTTGCAAGGATCTGAGAGAATCTACTGTTCTGAAGGACAGTGGACTTCACCACCAGTTTGTATAGGTAGATGTGGTAATATAAATAAGCATGCACTTCTCTCTATAATTCATAGAATGATAGGGATCTTAGGAATTCAAGGGACCTTTAAAGTTCATTTAGTCCAACCACCCTGCAATAAGCAGGGACATCTTCAACTAGATGAGGTTGCTCAGAGCCCTGTCCAACCTGACCTTGAATGTTTCCAGGGTTGGGACATTTACGACATCTCTTAGCAATTTGTTCCAGTGTTTTGCCACCCTTGTAAAAAATGTCTTCCTTATATCTAGTCTAAATAAAACCATTACCCCTTGTCCTATCACTACAGGCTCTACTAAAAATCCTATTCTCATCTTTCTTAAAAACCTCCTTTAATTAGTGAAAAGTTGCAATAAGTTCTCCCTGGAGCCTTCTTTTCTCCAGGCTGAACAACCCCAACACTCTAACTTCAGAGAATTAGAATTTATAAATTGAGTATTGTCAACTAGAACTTTCAGATCTGAACTTCAGTTGTTTTTCAGTTAGAGATGAAAGTTTTAATGTTTGTTTTTTCCCTTAAATATAACATATCTACAGTATCTAAAAATGCAATGATTTAATGTATAATATATTAAGAGAATGGGAAATAATCTAGTCTTAGTGTAGACTAGTAAAAATAATGTGGTTTCAAAAAGAAATTATTTATTAATAACAATTATGTCTCTCTTCTTTAGAGCCATGTACTTTGTCAAAAAAAGAAATGGAGAAAAATAATGTGCTGCTGCAAGGGATCTATGAAAATCAACTTCACTTTTACCATGGGGATTATGTTGGATTTTACTGTAAAGAGAACCATTTTGGAGCAGAATCTGGTACAACTTTATTTGAAGTGCAGTGTAAGAGAGGACAGCTGGCGTATCCAAGATGTGTTGAAAGAGGAAGCTAAGTATGGACTTAAGGAAAGCCTACAGGAAAGGTATGTACATGTTCTTTATCTGGCATTAACAGATGAATTAAGATGGCCTCAGATTTTTCAAGACCACTGCAGTCAGCTTTGAGAAATGAGTGTTTAGTGAAAGTGCTTTGTGTTACGAGGACTGGGAATGCAGCAGCAGAATGCAATATTGGCATATGCATGAAAAATTTAAGGTGTAGTTTTGTAAGGCTTACAGTGATTAACTTGAGGATGCATCACAATCTGGAGGACTTGAGAAAAGAGCCGTCATGTGGCTTTAGGTGAACTGTCCATGGCATTGCCTTGGCATGTATGGATAGTGTTAGGACAGCTGAAGCTCACCTAGAGTGACACCTGCAGTGGAAATTAAGGGTCACAATAATGTGTTCTGTTACTGCAACAGCGCTAAAACAATGAAAAACAAAAATGTGACCTGTCATTGAAGGGGGTAGGTGATTTAGTGACAGCTGCCTCACATGAAGCTGAAGTACTTGATGCATTCTCTGCCTCGATGTTCATCAAAAACATGCTGTCTCCATTTCTGTAATCTACCCTATCCTGTCCAGTGCTCACAAACATCCAGCATTAAATGTACATCCAGAGGAAGTGGAGGGGGGGCTTAAGAATCGTGGAGAAAGCTGGCCGTGCTCCTTGAGAGCTACTGCAGCTGTCTTGCTGTGGCACTGCCCTCAGCAGTGCTGGGGCTTTCATGTTCACAGGGAAAGCACCCTTGGGCCCCACAGTAAGCAAAAGCATTTGCAGACTTTGACATTTGTTTTAGCTTAGTTTTGTTTCTCTTTGTATCTAATGAGGATGTATGTCAATTCAGCAGAGACGAAAAAAAAGGCTATTTACGTTTTTGCTTCTTCTGTTGTAATATAATTAAGGATTAGATTATCAAATAATAATCCATGCCATTCTTGTCTCAATATTTTTACTTTGGTGCATAATAGAATTCCTGTCTTCTTAGGCAAACAGGGAAAATATAACAACTTTTTATTAAATAAGTTAATAAATGAAGGAAACATGAGTTTCAATAATGCAATGAAATATTAGTGACTTTATTAAAATACAGTATGGTTTTATTAACACATTAATGATTTTCAGTAAGGAAATTTAAAAAATGTTATTCTTTGTCATGTGAAGCAATGAACAGCTTGTGAAGCTCGTTCTCTCTTGGCATGCTTGCTCAGTAAAAATAGAGATCATGGGACAGAGCTGCTCTTCACATAAAATTAGATACCTTTTTCCATGGTGGTTTGTTGGGGCTTGCAATTTAAAGGCACTTATTGTTAAAAATATAAGTAACTTTTGTATCTTTCTAGTTCTATTTTATTTGTATTTCTTTTTTGTATCTTGTTTTACAGAATACACATCTTCAACAACCTAAGTAGGAGGTCTCTTTGGTAGACCAGCATTCTGTCTGACAATATTATTCTCCTTAATTTCACAGAAATACTGATATCCAAATTCCACTGTATATTCTTTCAAAGGGAAGATAGTGATATTTCCATTATCAGAAGAAGGTGGCAATCCCCATTTCCCAGATGGTGGAAGTATATTCTCAAGAAAATCACCATCACCCAGGTCATCTCAACTGTATATCCAAATAGTGACTGGCAATAACAAAATTTGTTGAAGTACTGGGTTGAGTAGATTATGACTTAAAGCATCACTAAAACAATTGTAGAGGTTTGTATTCATGTTCTGGATACTTATTTTTAAATGTCTTGCTAGCATTATCTAGTATCTTAAGGCACAATGTATTAAGGGCAAAGTTCATCATTAACAATAGCAGATTTAAATTAATATTTCAAATAGTCTTCACAATTTCTAATTTTTCTTTATACACTTCTTGTCAATTGCAACTAGACAGATCTTGTTTGTACCTCAGTGTGGCTGATAAGAGGTCATACTAGGAGCACAATTGTCATCCATGCCATTTTCTTGTCATTTGCTTGTGTTTGTCTGCAGTTTCTTTGCAAAGAATCTTTTTAAGCTACTTGTCCATTATGTGAGGGTTAGTTTGAGAACTCATCACTGTCAAAATCTGAATATTAAATATCAGTAACACAAAATTTAATTTTATTTTTTTTTACAAAACTATATATATAAAATAGTAGTTTAATATTTTCTTCCTGCATCCCCATGGATCATCTTCTAAACACTTTGGGGTGCAAGCACCTCACTTTGGAGCACACCGTTATAGAAGAACTTCAGCATTGATTTATTTTGTCTTGAACAGCAGGTCCCTGCAAAAACAGACCTGACCTGTGCTCAGGGAGTCAGCTCACCTTTGTTCTCTTCACATTTTATTCTAAGAAGACTATGTCTGGTTATGGAGATGCCAAAGCAAAGATCTTGCTGTTCTGAAACCTTCCTTATCATCCAGCAAAAGAAACAACAGAAGAATTATTTCTTTCTTAATTTCCTTAGAAAGAAATCAACGCCTATTAATACCTCACATGAATATTCAGATAGGCTCCTTTCCCTATACACACACAGTATGCTGGTTTAGTTGATTTTCATGATCTTGGTGAAATTAAATGAAGTTAAAGAAAAAAGCCCTCTGAGATGAAGGCACCAACAGCCAATGCAAAATTATTACACCTTGCTGCACAGTACAAGGTGGGCTGTCCACATGGGTTTTCAAAAAATCTTAAGTGGCAGCTCCCATTCCAGGATCTGGACTAAAAAGTACCTCTTGCCTTCAGCTGGAAATCCCAACTATTTGTGTCCCAACATCTTGCCCTATCATCAAATGTCAGGGAGGCTCAAGTCCCCCATAAGCACTGGGTCTGTGATGTAGAGACTTACCTGAGTCACTTTCAGAAGACTCCCCTCACTTGCTCACCCTGATCAGGCTGTCAGGACAATCACCACCACCGTGACCCCAGGGTAGTTTCCAGGCAAGCGCATGGAGAAGAAGCTAAGAACAGACAACACTAAACACTCTACTTGATGATAACCAAACTACCTGTGGGCTTTAATTCTATTTCAGGACACAATTGCTAATGAAAAATAACAGATCAATATAGAATGCATAAAAATGTAAGTACAGCCGCTTGGATGGATAAAATGCAAACACATTTACAAAATGTAAATGCAGTTGCAAAAATTGATAAAACGTGGATAAAATGTAAACACGATCATCAAAAACCAAAAAGAACAATAACAAATTCCAAGACAGAACATTGGCTAAGCTGCAAACAAAGCACAGCAAACTAAGAAATGCCAGGAAAAACTGAGTTGAGATCAATGGGTTTGTTGAAGGATCTTTCTTTTCCACAGCTGAGCTCCTTCATGCCATTTTCATTTATCCAGTCCAGTCTGCAGCAGAAAGAGAAAAAAGGGGAAAATCTGTGAAGACCAAGCTTGACCCACCACAGTGGTTCCTCAGAGCAGCTGGACAGGCACTTTCAGAAAAGCTGCCTCCTAGATGCTCCCCTGTGCCTCCCCATGTCCTTGGCATTGAGCACTTACATTTACATGTTGGATACTCAATCACTCCATCGCAGCACTTTGCTGTAAATTTCTCAGTTTCTGAAACTTGTCTGTGAAACCATTTGCATTCAAATAAAATATAATCTCCAGTCTGATAGGTGTAAATGTTTGACCAGCCTGATGACCGTAGTTGAATATGATTTGTTTCCATAGAAGTCTCATTCACTGTACAGATTTCTGGAAAAAAATACTTGAATTATTTGCCTGTACACCTCTTGCTGGACAACTGATGCTCTGAAACTCTGTACCAGCTGTGAGCCCTTTGCCAGCAGCCTTTCCAGCTCAGGTACACCAGTTAACAGCTTCCTGGGGCACTGTCCCACAATCACAGGGGTTGGAAGGGACCTTGAAAGATCACCTAGTCCAACTCCCCTGACAGAGCAGGATCACCTCGGGCAGGTCACACAGAAACACATCCAGAGGGGTTTTTAAACTCTCCAGAGAAGGAGACTCCACAACCTCTCTGGGCAGCCTGTTCCAGTGCTCTGTCACTCTCACAGTAAAGAAGTTTTTTTCTGATGTTTACGTGGAACCTGCTATGTTCTAGTTTGCACCCACAATGTCTGCAGCTTACAGGATGTGCCCATACCCTGGCTCCTCCCCAGGTGTTGCTTCAAGAAAGCTAAAGGCTTTCACCTTCAACTCTAAAAATGCAACAACACAGCAGCTAAGCTGCAGTGGAGATTACTTACTGCCTGGCTTGCATAGTGGATATTCTATCGTTCCTTCCATACAACGTGCTCTGAACGGGGGAGAGGCAGGGTCCTCCAAATACCCTCTTTTGCACTGAAATTCAATAACGTCACCCGATGTGGAATACAGCTTTGTTGTTCTGCGCCATTTCAGCTCAATATTGTTTCTGCCCATGTCTTCTTCAGTTGCTGTGCAGGCGACTTGAAAAAGGCAAGAGAAGAGTGTCATCACTTGATACAGATGCACCACAGGTAACTTTTTTCCCCTATCGCCTACAGAAGTTCTTCACACCACAAAACACTTCCAGCTATTTGTGCTGAACCTCTGTTACTTTCAACAGGAATGACATTCACAGCCAGCCTAAAGGGAACATAGACCATGGCTGAGACCCCCACATGGAGATATGGAGAAGCACAGGAAGAGGAACTCACCAGGCATAATTAACTTCTCTGTCTTTTTTGAGATGCCTTATTTGCTTCTGCCCAGCACGTCTCTAAATTTGTTTCTTTGTGGCCGTGTTGTGGACCACCCTCCCCCCCTTTCCGCAGCACTGCCATGCAATCAGACCCATCCTTCCCGCGTGCAGCCTGCTTAGAGTGGCAATGTCCACAGGTCAGGAGCCCTGCAGAGTGAGGGAGATCTTCTAAAACAGAGGGGTTCAGCCGAACTCCCGTCCTCCCAAACTTGCGGCAAGAGATGGCAAGCAGCAGAGGGGACTACATGAGCTAACTTCAAGAAAAAAACTCCTTTTGAACAAAAGAAGGATGCTTTGTGGTTCTGCCCTGCTAGCACTGCAGCCCCAGCACAAATGCTGCTGCACAAGTGATGCCCTCAGGAGCTAAGAAAAAGAAAACGGGGGCAGGCATACAGCCTTTGGCCACTCAGTACATCCTTCAACCTACCTAGGCAAACTGGAGGGTCTGTCCACTGCCCATTAGTACAGGTGATATACTGAGATCCTTCCAGGATGTAGAGACTTGGGCATTTGTATTGCAGAGTTGTACCTTGTGGATACTCTTGCTCAGGGAAGGAAAGAATGTCTCCATTTTCAATAACTGGTGCTGGGCCACATTTCCCACTTTTCCCTGGAAGAATATTTCCAATCAGAGAGAAAGCCATGAGAATATAATTGCAATGGATGCTTGGCTACTAATACTACTGGACAGTACATTGACAGTACTATGAAAAACATGGAGGAAAGCAGAGAGAAAACCAAATATGTATCAGGTGAAAAAAAAAAAAGCAAGTGTTTCTAATGTCTGCAGTGCTGGGACTCCCAACTACCAGTTCAGCCTGTTTGTCCATGGTTGAGGTGCTTGCAGCTGTCTGAAGGACTTCTTCTGGTGCTGCATAACACTAGTGTGTGGCACACCTCTTTCTGCAGAAGAGCCTGACCCCCCCCCCCTCTCTGCACTGCCTGAGCAGTGAGGAAAGTGGATCCAATTGCAAATGACTGTCACTGACCTGCAGTCACTAACGGGATAGCCCTTGGGCTCTGTGGGCCCTTGGGCCTGTTCACACATGCCAGTCCTGAAGCTCCCTCACGGACTTTTCTGTACCTATTCAAGCACCACACTACTGCTAAGTCTGGCCTTCCAATGGACCTTGCACTGAGAAATCTTCAGAGAACACCCAGATCCCTTGGTACCAGCAGTGAGACCCTGCACTTGCTATTGTGTTTCGGAGCCACAGTACCGAGCCTGGCTTTAATTCATCTGCTGGTTCTGCACACCTTTCAGCTCCCAGCTGGGTGGAGTTTGAGACAAATGCTGGTGTTTTGGTTCAAGTGCCTAAACTTTCTGTATGTCTAATGAAAACAAATGAGATTATTCAGTGCACTCATGCTGTCTTAGGAAGCATCAACAGAATACCTAGGTGTTGGCTCACGTCTCAAATTTAACAGTTGATTTGGCTCCATGGCATTCAGTATAGCAATGCATCATCTGCATTATATGGATGCCAACTAGCAGGGAAGCTCTGGGCTCTGTTCTCCAACACAGACAGCAAAATTTCTCACACTCTTCTCATCAGGCAGGCACAGAAAGGAGACTCTACAAAGTCTAAGGGTTGCATCTCAAAATTAGATAAGGCCAGCAACCACTCTCAGCTTCAGGGTGGTTTTCCAGATAGGGCTCTTTTAAGTGAAGCCACCTGAGTCACTCAGCTGGTCAACTCATCTGAACAGATACCTGGGAAAACAGCTTTTACCTGGGTGTGCCACATATGTTGCATTTGTGCACGGTAATTAAATGCCACTGAATCAGGTTCATGACAGTCGCACTGACAGGCAACTGTATGAAGAGGGAGAGAAAAATTACCTTTGCACTTTGGCAGCTCTGTCCAGGTCCCATTCTGACACACTACAGTGGAATCCCCTGTCACCTGAAAACCTTGCCAGCACTGATAGCGAGCACTCTCTCCAGGCAAATACCTTGACTTTTTAAAACCTTGAACCTTACCACCAGCAATTTCTGGAGGAGGTTCACATGTCACATCTGAAAAGAGACAGAGCTGCAGTCACATTTGCAGGTAGACAAAGAAAATAAAAGTAAAAAAAAGTAGTCTTTAGAGTGTTTAGGTAAACAGTTCTCTCAGTGGTAACAGATGAAAACACAGATTCCTACCTCTGCAGGTTGGTGCTTGTGACCATTCTCCATTTGTACAAGTGACATAATGTCCACCTATCATTTGATAATTGCTTTCACATTCATACTGCACTCTGGCACCAGGTAGATACCTCTCCTGTTGAACGCTTGTAATATAAGCATTAGGGATTTGAGGTGCAATTCCACAGGTAGCATCTGAAAAGAGAGATACCTTCAAGAACAGTAGTGCAGCAATATGATAATCACATGATGTGTGTTCCCAGAGTGCCATTGCTCTTGATGAGCAAAAATGTTTTGAGTAAGGCAGATCTTTTTCTACAAGTAGAAAGGGAAGGTATTATGGTCTTTATTCTGCAGTGTTTTATCACACAGTCTTTTCCTTTGAAGGGAATAAAAAGAGAAAAGGATTTGCAGAAGTCAGCTGAAGGTGCAGATTGATGCTGTAAAGCATTGTGTGCCAAAGGGCTGGAGAGTGAAGTGATTTCTTTAAAACCTTCTCTCTGCTTAATTTTAGCAGTGGGCTAAGCTTCTGCTACTAGCTTCAGCCCACAAGGGAAATGATTTCTTTACTCAGTAGTTTTGCTTGTTCTTTCTCAAGAGTGAGAAGAATAGTTGTTGTAGCAACCCGTTCAAAACAAGACATTTGTTGGCTCTATTGGCCTGACTCATCTGCATGCCTGAGTTGACCTTATTTTAATTCCCAATATGAATGACTAAGAAAGATCATAAACTACTTAGAAGTAGAACCTGTACCTTCACAGAAAGGTGGTGCTGTCCAGTTTCCTTCCCTGCAAATAATTTCAGGGGGTCCAACGATCAGGAACCCTTTATCACACTGGTAGCGAATTGTTTCACCAGGCTCATACATTTTCTTGTTTCTGCCTTCAATTTGAGCATTGGCAACATTTGGAATTTCTCCACAAGGCATTTCTGAAAAGATACAGAAAGCTGATGCTTGTGCTGATGTGAGAACAGAATTGGTGTACTGTTTCCAGCAAACAGATGCTTTAGATAGCTTTTTCATCAGCATAGTCATCCAGTGACAGCAAATTTTAAATAAAAGGTAGCATGCAAAAGACTAAGTAAATCATTCCCCTAATTAGGCATGGACTTCAGTCATTGAAATATTCAGATCCTATTCCTAACCATGCCAGTAAATAATAAAGGTTTCTGTCCCTCACTACACAGAAGTGGTTTCCATCAGTGAAGCACCAAAGCAACTCCTAGTCACTAGTGGGCGCTGTAGAAAACAGAACCCTGGATTATGAAGATGTGCCCAGGACTAACCTAGCAGAGATATAAAGTGAACAAAGATTGCAAGAATACAAAGGAATATTTAAAAACTAAACTGCTTTCAAAAAGTCAGCCTTGCATCCAATCAGGATTACTCTGAAGACGTCCACAAGGGATAATAAGATTCCACAGCAAAATACATAGTTACTGGCTCTTACTAGTCAACCTCTAGTTCAGCACTATTTCAATTTCATTGCTAAATGCACTTCAAAAAAAGTGTCTTTTGATATTACCCAAGCATGTAGGAGATGAAGTCCATTTTCCCATAGAACAAGTTATTTCTGATGGTCCATCTAATGTGTATCCAGAATGAGAAACATACTTAAGTCTAGCACCAGACAAATAAATTGTTTTTCCTTCTTTTTTAATTTTAAAGTTTCGATTTTCCAGCCTGGGAACATCAGCACATTCTACAGGTTGTGGTGGCAAACATGGTCTTTCTAGAAAATATGGAAAACACAGATAAGCAATAATATTCCAATGACATTTGCTGTCTAAAACCAAAAAGAAAAAAAAAAATCATAATAAATTAAATGGCTTGAAAGGAAGATGAACATACACAAGATGCACAAATCAAAACTTTTCTCTCCTTTCCTTCCTACATGCAGTTTCTCTCTTTTCCTTTGGACTAGATTTAAGCCATTTTTCTAGTTCATACCAAGGAGATACAGTTACAGTTTAGCATCAAGAATAGGGAAAATTTAATATGCAGAGAAACAAAAGAGACATTATCTTGTTTTGGGATACTTGAAGTGAGTTCCTAGAACATTAGCTATTAAATCTTTCCACCATTAATAAAGTTGTACCAATGTCCTGAGGGGTCTTGTGATGATAGGATGAAAATGAAAAAGGGGCTACAAATTACAAAGCATTCTAATGTACTTCCTGATATATACAATGGATTAAATCTCTATGAAGCCCCCCCTGAGTCAGGGCTGTCCCAATGTTTTCTTGTCCTATACTACTGTAGTGTGGGTGGATTTAAATTATATTTTATATGTATTTTTAGTTATTAATAAATTAGGTTTTATTAGTTAATAGGTGAAAGCATATGTTTGCACTAAATTCCACAATACAACAAATCTAATTATAGTCAAAGTTCCTGTTCAGTAACTGGGAGTTTTATTTCAGTAATAGCTGTTTTATTAACAATTCAAGCATTTTTTGGTTATTCTTCTATCTGCCACTTATCAGTGGAAATGGAGACTTAAAGGCAATGCAAAAGAGGAGAAACTATGTGGCATCAGAATTTTGCAGCTTAAAAGTGTTTGGCATGTTACATACATCAGTTACCAGCTGGTACCTCATTAGTCCTGTGCTCATGTATCTCCTACTCATTTCTGAAAACACTTTATTCTAGCTGTTAATGAACTTCTGCATACAGGTTATCTATCACCTGCACGAGTAATACTTTAACCATTGGATTAGATTCCTCAGCATTTCTTAGAACAGATGGCCTGAATTACGCCATAACATTTATACTTATATAATAAGATTACAGGAAGAAGCCACAAAAAGAAAGGAGAAAAATCAAAAGAGAATAAAAACTAAAAAACACAAAGATTGCTGGTACTACTACAACTAAAAAATAAATAATACAGGTTTTTCCATACTTTTAAAGGCCTCCAGTGAAAACTGAGACTCCTAGCTGCAATAGCTAAACAAACAAAAAAAACCCCAGACATCTCTTAAGGGATTACCTGAAAGTTTTATATACCATCTTAGATAAGTCTGTGTAAATAGATACAAATGTACTGTTCAACAGTTGGTTAACTGCATGTCATAAGCAACTTACATTCTACTGCTTTCCTGCAGTTACCCGTTCATAACAATAAATATGACATAAATAACGTCATCCTCCTGCTAATGGTGACTGCAAATGCATTAACGCAGAAATGAATAATAAAACAAGTAGAAAAAAAATAATCCACTACTGACCTACACATTGAGGTGGTGATTGCCATTTCCCATCTATACATGTTATTTCATTCACACCAATGAGCTGGAAATCCTTCTGACATGAAATAGCTATTTTACTTCCATGCTTGTAATTTCTTCCAGCTGGTATCTGTTGAGTACCAGGCAACTGAGGTGGAGGTGGGCATCTGCTCTGCTCAGCTAAGGACACATACTCATGTTATAACACAACATACAATAAAATATAACAGTTCATCACAGATTACAGCACTAACACCCAAGAAAACATTGATGACAGTTCTTCAGTAGCTATCTCAAGCTTTAATTAATATCATGGTAATTCTGCTCTGCTTGAGAAATACCAGAGCTGCCTTCAGATGCTCATATGCTTTCAACCTCACAGAAAGAACAGTCACATTTGCCTACACCAATCTAAGCTGGAGTTTCTTCTAGTTCCTCTTCCCTTACACGCAATTGCACGCCTTGGTGTACTCTTCCCATTCCTCCTTATGGTGAACTACTTTAGGAAAACTGGACCAACTTCTGGGGTTCCTGTTGTGTTTTTTGTTGTTGCTTTTTTCTTCACACTTAGCTGATGACAGAGCTAAATGACAATCAGAAAAGGAAACAGAAATAAACTTAAATTTTCCCACTCAAGAAACAAGCGGCTGCTCCTCCCAAAGGAAAGAAAAAGTAAGAGAAGGAAGTAGATCTAGGAAGAAGGAGACCTCAAGAGCTTATTTGTTGGTTCTAGTGGTTCCAGAAAACAGAGAAGGTAGGGACACCTGATTTTGAAAGAGGATGCTCCCCCGAGTGAGCCTCTCTGTTTACTTCTCCCACTTCCAATCATTATTTTTCATTAATCTGGTATAACAAAAGCAGGCAAGAGGCGATGACTGTTTTGCAATCATACTTTTCTACAGTCAATATCCTGCTCTGCTATACATAAAGGCAATCCTGTAGCCATTTGACCTTTGGTGTGTATTAGATAAGGGCAGGTTCCTCTAGGTCTGTGCTTTTGAGTTGGCCAACAGCTTTTTTCTTACTGTTTCACTAGGAAACAATTGCAAAAAAAAATAGAAGGGAGGAAAAAAAAAAGAAGAAAAGGAAAATTCAGGAATAGAAAAGCTTTGAATGTTTACAGGAAATAAAGGAACTCTGGCTGGAGCTTGAGCTATGCTACTCTCATTTGTACCAGGGGAAAGTCCTTTTGAAGAAGCAAGCTTAAATGTGTCATTGCATCTTTTCTGACATCAGAAATCACAGTGGCAACTGTTCCAACTATAAGAGTAGAGATTATTAAGTCTGCCTCACTAAAAGAGCGTCCCTAAACCTAGTTAAGTGTTCAAATTACTTCCACGAATAATTCATTACTGTGCTTTAGAATACAATGGAGTAAGTATATATATATATATAAGCATGTAAGCATTTCTATTTCAGATTAGTGACACAGCAATGCTAAGTAGCTTTAATAATGAGCGTTTAACATTCCTTGTTAAAAAGAAGAAATTGTATGCAAATATAAAAACATACTTGTACATTCAATCTCTGGTGACCATTTTCCAGACACACAAGCTGCCTGTTTAACAGTCCTGTCAGCTGATTTACATCTATACTGGATAACTCCATGCAACCCAGCTGTACTTCTTGGCCTGGAAGGACGACCCCTATTCACAAGCTCAACATCCATTGGAAGTACACACTGAGGAGATGGATCTGAAAAAAAAATAAAAAATATCTAAAAAGTAGATTTTATTCAGGTAAAATGTACATATGCATTCACAGTCATCAGTTTCCTCATGCATTTCCATGTGAAAGTGTTTTTCTATTTACTGTATTTTGAAGTAACTCCTAAGATTCCTAAATTATCAAAACAGTTTTTATTAACTCCTGCTATCTAAGGCAGAGGCTGTTCTCATTCAGAAAGCAATTATTTTTATGTTGACAGGATCCCTTTTGCTGAGTGCAGTAAGTAATCTAAAAACTAAGCATTTTTTTCTTTCCTACAACTATAAATGGGTAGTTAGAGGAGCAAGAAGAGAAACTTTCTTTTGCTTGTAGAAGCATAAAGGCAGTACTACTCCGCACTTACTATTTATCAGGTGTCAATCTCCTGTGTAAGTATATGAGTCATAACTAGGTCTTGCATCCTTGACTGGTGGTTCCAGGAGTCAGAACACATGCTACTTGTGAAAGCTAAGCAGACTTTGTTTTGTGCCAGATTCAATCCTCAACATAATTGTAAATAAAAGTACAGTTTACTCAACTATGTGATGAATATAAAATCACTTCTGAAGTGAGAGAGAACCAAGAATTGAATATATCATAAACTGCATTCTGCTAAAGATAAGCGAACTGTTGGAGTAATTAAACCCAGACAAGACTCCCTCTTGTCCAGCATCTCTTTTTTTCTTACATTACTGACTTAAATGCATTATTTTTTTTTTTTAGAAAAAGGCTTTATTTTATCTATTTGTAAAAGATATTACTTTCAATCAATTTATGCATTTCCAAACTAAATGGGAAGATGAGAAAAAAGATAAAACTATGGATCAGAAATGAAAAGGACTATTGAACATAAAAATGGTGAGATTGGGAAAAGTCTAGCACACTGTGGATACTAAAATTTTTAAAACTCAGCAGGATTAAAAAAAAATCAAAGTAGCATACAGACACATAAAACTACAAGCAAGTAATGTAACAAGCTATCAAGCATGCTCCTTTATTGCAGGTATGTCCCAAGGCCTCTGACGGGTCATTACCAAGGAGGAACACTGGTAAATGGGTAAAAGCCATCATACACCAAAGATGTTCCTCCCTACTTGATTCTACCCATTGTGCAAGTGTCTGTTCCTTCCCTAAACCTACTAAGAATGCTTAAAAAGCTGTAGGTGCAGAGCTTGTCCAGAATAGAGGACATGTTCACACTTAAAAGATGAGAAAAAAAAAAAGAAAAAAATTGTAGTTGAGATGCATGGAACAATAGTATCTCTGGCTACATGTTGATTGCTGAATCCCTTGACGTGGTGTATAGAACTACGTATGCTACACTCCTATCTGAAATATTATGGTAATATTATAGACACAGATTACCAGCACAAAGAGGTAATGGCTTCCATTCCCCATTGAAACATCTTATTTTCTTTTTCTCATAATTGCCAGAGCCTTGTGTGCATCCACAAATTACTTCATCACCATGAGAAAACTGGGTGCGGTCTTCCTGATGAAGAACAACATTTGGAATAGAGGAAGGGGATCCACATGGCATTTTGTCTTCTGTTGAAAAAAGTAGTATTCCACAGTAATATTCGAGCAATATATGAATAGCTGAAAGAACTTAAAAATAACTATATTTGCAGTTGGTGAGTCAAACCTATCCCCTTAATTGTGACAACTTGACTAACACGTTTTAGTCAGTTTACTAAATTTAGTAAAAGCAATATATATTACACATAGTCATTGTGTTTGTAGCACTGTGCCCCAGTAACATACACTATTGCCACTGCTAGACAGAGGTCAAAGAGTTTGTACCGAGCTCACAAGGCCTCATACTGAGGTATGGAGACTTATGGGGCTTACTTTGTCACAACCTGTCCTGAACTGCTTAGTTTTACTTATTTTAGCTGTAGCAGCATTTTTTCTCGTGACCAGGCTACAGTGAATTTATTTTATTTTTGGATATCTCTGTCTGGCACAACCATAGTTTTATCTATACAGTAGTAACAAGGTTTTAGTCTATGTAGAGTAAGTAGTTATGACTAATATAATGATAATGCAGGGCTTGTATGATAAAAAAGTCCTTGAGAAACAGGGAAAAAGGTTGGGTGTGGCAGGGTAGAGGTAAAGGATGGTCAGAGGCAGAGCACAGCCTAGCACACCAAGGCTATGAATAGCTCACAAAAGGCCAGCTTAGACCCTGAGCTGATCACAGGTGGTTTTAGGGGTAACAGGAAGAACAAAGAACAAGTATCATATTTAAAAAAGAATGTACCTATCTAATTCAGAACCTGTAAGCCAGTGAAAAAAGGGCAAGGCACAAAAGCATGCTAGCTAAAAATTGTCCCAAGTAGATCCTGGAAGGAAGAAATTATCAGCATCAACTTCTTATTCCTCCCTGTGAATGACCTGAGATAATGACAATGTCTGCAACTTCCCTCCAAAACACACCAGACTAAAGCCATTGACTTTAGGACCCAAAGCGGCAGTGGAAGGGTGAGCATAACACCAGAAAAAGAGGTAAATAAGAGAAAATGTGTGCACAACAATCGTAATTATATATTGTAAATTATCTGTATAACTTAGATATTCTGCATTATTTATAGATTTATAATTATTCTTTCTAATATATATATATATTTTTTCATTCCCTTTCTATTATCACTTGAACAGGACTAACAAAAAATCTTTAATTGGACTATTAAGATTTCAGTTGTACTACTTAAAAAAGTTTTGGATTTACATATAGTGTGTGTTTACTTTTAATCCATAACATAATATGGAACGTCACATGTTATGCCTGCAGATATGTAATTCTAATAAGTAAGAATTGTGTAGATTTACCAATGCAAGAGGGAGCAGATGTCCATTGTCCATCAACACATTCAATTTCCTTTGATCCAACCAATTTAAATTCGATGTTGCACATATATTGCTTTATTTTCCCATGCTGATAGTGTTCCACGGAGCCACCAACAATATGTCCATTGGTAATCTCAGGTGGAGGCCCACAGCCTGTGGCATTCACTGAAATGAAGAAGTGAAATCTATGCTCTGAACTCAGTATTTTTTGCACAGCTATATGTTAAGTGCAATGCAAAATAATTTGAATTTGTTGTTTAAAGCTGAGAAAAATCAGTAGAACAGACTAAACAGATCCCTGGTTTATGCCTTTTAATATCTGTATTTTTGTTGTGCTGGAGATCACAGATATAGCTGACATCTATTCTCTTACTTCTATGCACTATTTTCTGCTATGATAAAAGAAATAGTTGATAAAACCAACCCAGATGTAAGAGAAAAAAAAAAAAGTTGCATGGATGACAACTTCAGCATTCTTAAAACAAAACCAAACTAAAATAAAGGTCAAAATTCTGCAATTAATAATAACCTACATTATAAAAATCACCCAGCAAGTGATATGTGCTATATATGAAAGGAATTAACTTATGATGGATTGAATGAAGCTCAAGGGAGATTAAAATATTGCTGAGCTAATGAGCCAACTAAGTGAAATCTACTTGTTTTTAAATGCAACAGAGTGAGAAAGTGAAGGATGAGAGCATGGAAAAACAACAAGGCAACTGATTGAGTGGGAAGGAAGGTCAATGAGAAATAAGAGATCCCCTCATTATCTCAAGCTGCCTCATGAATGGGCATAGCACCAGCAAAATAAAAGTGGCAAGATACCATGAAGTTGCACTCTGTCTTAAAAAGTAGAAGAATAGGGTCATGTATCTTCCCTCCTCCATGAGTTTGTTCATCCTATTGGATGAAGGTAAGGAATTTCATAGGGGAAACCTTTCACTGAGTTTTTTTTGCTTGGGTCCAGCTCTGTGTCATCACCAAAACAGCTTGTTTTTTCCTTTGATATCATCTGATCAGAAAAAGGGACATAGGACACAATATCTGATGGGCATCAACACTAGGCAGTGGCAATATTTCGGATACAGAAAGAGAAGACATTACTCAAATTAACCACTCATGGCTGCCACATTGCACATTATTTAGGCCTTTTTGATTAATAAATATTTGTTCATACATTACAGTCAATAACCTGAGTGAAATTTTGCACAAGCCATTTACCAGTTCACTTGCAGTTATTGCAGAACTCCAATCAGCATAACTAAAGCTAACAGAAAGTTCAGCACTGAAAGTTCAACTGTTCAGAATCTTTCACATAAAATAGCAAAACACTATTAAATGATCTGAAGAGGACTAGGTCCTGCCCTTTTTAGAGATGAACATGGGGTAATTGTTCTTGGGAGCAAGACTGGCTTACAGAAGGTGTCTACAGAAGTCCTCAGGACCCAGGCATTTTCAAGTGTTTCCAACTACAATTAAGTTAACAGAAGAATTACCTTTACACACTGGTGGTGATGGAGACCATCCAAAATAATAGCACTGAATAGAAGCAGGTCCCACTCTCACATAATTCTTTGCACAGGTAAATTTCACAACATGTCCATTCCTGTATTTACCCTTCTTGGGAGAAAACTCTCCATTGGGCAATGTCAGCATTTCACATTCTATTGCTTTAAAGACAAAATGTTTTAACATATAGTGAACACCCTAAGTACATGAAATACTAAGGATTAGAACAAAACCAAAGGAAGTCTTAAAGAAAAAAGCTTCACAAAATGGATACAGAATTATGCTGATTAGCAACAACAACAATATTCACCAAGACACTGGGGTGTTGGGCTCCATTCACCATTGACGCCACACGTCGTGGTACCGATTGGCATATTATTTGCAGTTTTATATCCTTCCGCACACTCGTACTCGACTGTATCTTCAGGCACAAACACAGTTTTATTTGTGTGCCAACTGAAAACGTCGGAAGGTGTTTTACATGATTCTGTAGAATAAAACAAAGTTAGTGCATTTTGGGACCCAGAAACTCTGTCTTTTGGAACCATCAATTCTGTAGGTGCTTTTATGTGTGCTAGTCCATTGAAACAGTTTATTTAAAACATTAAAAATTCTTCATTGCCAGAATAGGAGTGTAGAATATCATATGTAGCATATTCACATAGTATATATTGTATTTATCTTTAGAAAGATGTATACAGAAGTAATAACTAGCATAAATATTTACTCCTTAGGTTAAATTCCTTTCCTACTACATGCTATTATTATTATTGGTGTCACAGCAAACGGTTTGTAGCTCTGTTCCCTGTGGTCATTTATGAGGGGGTCAGGAAAAAAGCCACAAAATCCTAGGTAACGGACAAGCTAATGTTGGTCACCCTACATCCATGCTGAGGAGATGAAGGAACATCTAAGAGGAAAAAGGCAACAACAGTTTAGAGGTATTTTCAAGAAAAAGCACTTGTTTTTCACAAATGTACTTTTTTAACACCAGAGCACACATATGCATAGTGCTTTTTATGCACAGTGATAACATTTTTTTAAAAAATTAATCCCATTTCTCTCTGGTTTAGTCACAGTAAAAGAAAGTTCTTGGCAGAATCTCTTGGTTCACAGGCATTTCTTCATAAATCTTCCCATGTAGCATGAAAGGCAGGCGAACTGGAAGTAAATTTGGGCTTTTCTACCTGGTAAGAATCACTGGAGAGATCAGTGATTACCATCTACTTTGTACTAGAGATCCAAAAACATAGGTCACCTAGAGGATAGTAATATTTTTCCTGCCTTACTCACTTCCTTTACATTTTCTCTCTTTTCTTGGAGCCCCAGAAAGGTTAATCTCTGGAGGATTAGTCCTCTATTTTAGTCTCCCTCTACTCAGTAAGAAAAATCTACCAATTCAGATGACAAAAATCTGAGTACATAGGACATCGTGTCTGCCCCAGTGACAAAGACAGGGAGCCCTGAAGCCTTTATGCTACTCACTGATGCACTCTGGAGGTGGAGCCCAGCCATTCTCTTGACACTGTGTCACTCCTGTTTGTTTTCCTTCTGGAGTTACAAAGCCAACAGAACAATGATAGCTGACCACCTCTTGTAAGCGAAATGTACTCCTTCCGCCAGTAAAATGACCATTGTCAAAATGCACACTCTGGCATCCTTCTGAAAGAAACAGAAATGTTCTACTTGTAAGAAAATCTGCCTAAAATACGTGCTTTTAATACATGGAAGAACAAGCACAAGTGAAACAGCAGTAGAATTCAGAACATTCTTAAGAGCACACGAATTTCTGCTTCTGTATTGAGTGCTCTTCCTGGGGGATGAGTAGAAAGTGAAAAGTCAAGTTCACAGCTACCAACCCATATAGCACAAACAAGGATGGACAAGTGTTTGATTTGCAGCAGTGCAGTAAGCTTCCAGAACTGTATCTCCACATCTCGTCTTCACTAGAAATTAAATTCCTGTTGGGCATGCACTGCAGTGTACATGCATAGAGGGGACTTTCTGTCCATATTGCAAGGGGGAATCACAGCAGAGATCACTGCAATGTGTAGGTGCCACCTCAGTTCTACTCAAAAGGAGTCATTCAGACCACAAATACTGCAGAATTAAAGCAAATTTGTACTAAAGAACCCCCTTCTTGTACACTAAAACACTAGTACAGACAGACACAATATTGTAGCTAATTTCACATCACTTGGAATACGCTGTTTAAACCAATCTAAATAGATGGAAATCAGTCATCTTGGTTGGGTTTTATAGTCTTGTATTCTGAAGGAAAACTTCAGTAGTATGCTAAATTCTTTACTAATAAATTGTTCTGTGAAGGAGTTTCTTCATTTTAAGACTATAACAGCACATGCACAAGGGGAATTATTACTCTTCATTACATTACTGCACAATTATGTTGTAACAAGACTTCACTGCTGAAGACAAAAGAACTATGATTCCTACCCCAGAGATGACATGCTAGGAGATCTGAATGAACCATGTGTGGATGTTTTACAGGGTTACACTCTGCACATTTGTGACCTTCAGCACACAGGGACAGGAGAGCTGCATGAGCCACTTGAGAGAATCACAGAATTGTGTTTCAATTGTAGAGCACCTAGACTCCAAGTTACAGAGTTGTGGTGAAGCATTAATGTAGATTATGTGATGATGGATTTACTGCTTTTGCTGCCTCAACACAGGACACTCACTTTTACGGATACATCTCGGAGGAGGTGACCAGTCATCCTTTGTGCATGTGACGTCCCCATCTTCATGTTCAGTATAATAGTCATCTTCGCAGGTATACTTAACTCTTTCACCTTCCTGGTAAACATCCTTCTGGACATTTAAGAAATAACCATTTTCCAAATGTCCAACCTGACATTGTTCTAGAGGAGGAAGGTAAGATCATTTAATCAGAGCAATTTGTACAGCAAGAACTGAGGTAAATTAATTCTTAGGAAGACAGTTACTAAAAAAGAGACTCCTAGCACTTTTCTGTGTCCTACCTCAAAAACAAATTTGTGTTTAAACCTGAGTGAAAGCATGTTTTGTTTCTCTGTCTAAGATTGATGAATCACATGAACAGGCATGCAAGTCACTACATAAAATGCTAAGAAGCGGTCTAGTAAACAATATTGCTTACCTAGTGCTCATAAGCAAGGCTTGCTAACTTCAATGCATCTAGCATCATGTCTACCAGCTCTGGTTTGGTCCGCTACATCTCCAAAATGTCCATGTCTGAACTGATTACCACACTCTTGCCAAGCATGCCGGCTGTACAGCATCCTGTGCCTCCATGAGCCCAGACACAAAGAAGATGGCTGAAGGAATGTTCTAGCTGTGTTACTTGAGTAACTGGTCCTCTACTCCACACAGGACTCCACTCATTTACTGCACTGAGCACCACTCCACTGAGGGCAATGGGGAAAGATCTACCTTTTGTAACCTATTTTCAAGCCCTACCAGTAGATAGGAACTTCACAGTGACTGAAGATGTGTGTTAGGAGAGGAGGCCTCAGCTCACTGCTTTAAATCTGTTTTATATAGTTCAACCCTTAAGTCAGTGTATCTGGATCTCTTGCTGATGCTCACTTTCAGCTTATTACCAAGTGTGCCACCCTCTCAGCTCCAAATGTTATCCAAAAGGACCAGGCAACAGATTGCAGAGATTAACATCTAGACAAAGTGCCCAGGCCATGGAAGGAAGATTATATGGACATAGAGTAGAAACTCCCTGTATGTGCAGATGAAAGTCAAGGCATGCATGTGATCCAGAAGCCAGAGGAGAGAAATGTTTCCCATATATTTCTTCATCTAATGGATAGGTTCAGGAGGAAAGGATTTCCAAAATGCAAAAGCATCATTTCAGCCTTATGCAGTTCAGAGTGTCACTTACCAGCTGACAGTTTGAGCTCTGCAGACCAGGTAAACTAAAACAATTTTACTTTAACAAACTGTTCTTTGTTCTGTCTTGTGCTCCTCTGGCACAATTTCTGCTGCACAGACCTTTCATGATTATAACAAAATTGAGCATATAGTGGGAATGTACTTACTGAGGCACTTAGGCTCTGGAGACCAGCCCCTTTCAGAACAGACTATTCGAACCCAGACATGTCCATTTGGGCTTGAATAACCACGATTGCAGCGGTAATCAGAATGCTGCCCAAACACCATTGGAAAGTAATAGTGTCTGTGGTACTCGTGTGCATCATGTAACCTGCCATTTTCTATAGCTGGGTACTCACATGGTTTCTCTAGAAATAGAATTTAACAGCAACATCAACACACATGACAGAAAGGTAAGGACACAATTAATTCAGATTCAGCTTCACCATCTGAGTGTTTTCTGAAACTGACACAATCACAACTGCACACCTCAACACCTACGCTGGTTCCCTCTGTTACCATTGCAACTAACAGAAATCCAGTCAATATTCTCAGTGGGCTCCAAAGGCTGATACATGAGATCAAATGTAAATATTTATTCTGTGGTGTGGTGACACTATCTTCATAGATTGTCTCGACTAAATTTATTATACTGACCATGATGGTTGCCCAGACAGCTAGGTCAGGTATAGACACTGAGCTGTGGACTCTTTAGAATTGACATGACACCTGTCACCATTTTCATTTTCATCCCAACTTTTGGGATTCTGTACCAATAGATCTTCCTAGCTCTTCCCATTTTTAAACTACAGTGGTTTTCTTTTGTTTTCTTGGTTCCTCAAAAGGACAGACCCTTTTCAGGGACAAGCCAAGGATAGAAGAAGGAGATTTTCAGAAGCTTTCGTTCCAGTTTACCAAGGGTGCCCTACTTGGCCATGGTAGGTAGATTCCTCCTGAAGTGCTCTGACTCAGCCTACAAGCTGGGGCAGAGGACATCACCCACTGGACAGACCATTCAAAAATGAATGATGTGGTCTCAGAATACCTTGATTTTAGAACTCACACATGCATAGAGAAAAGATTAATCTACATACTAAGAGTGCACTTTTTGGGAATAGTTCAAATAATCCAAAGATCCCTTTACAATACTGATTTAATCAGGGTTTTTCTCACACCTTGCATTCTAAATTTTTATTTTATTTTCAGTGACCAAAGATTGCTAGATTATTAAATTAATTGCTAACTTCTTTATTTGTTAATACTGTGCCTACTAGGCAAAATTGTCATTGTAGTTATGGGAAGTTTAAGCCAAGAAAGATCTCATCAACAATCAATATTTTGTTTTGTTATTTGACAGGTTACAATAGGTAGAAAAAACCCTGTGATTATTCATAATATACCAACGAACAACTGCAAAATCTAAAGCTGTGACAACTACAATGAAAGATACTTTCCAATCATTACCTATGTTTTGTTTTAGTTTGGATACTTTAACACACACACTACGTCCTCTTATCTTGACTAACATGCTGCCACTCAGCTCCTGACAGGGAGCTAACTATAAAACTTTTAAACACATACTTTCACAAATACAGGAACAGATAATACCTGTAATAGATAATACCACAAACATACTGTAAATGTTGATTATACTATTGTTTTTATAGATGATATTCCTAAACCATCAAATGAAGCTTTACATCCCAAAGAAATAAAATGAGTAAGCAACTCTCATTTATCATGCTTCTTAGGGTTTTTAAGAGCTACTTACGGACACAACTTGGATCAGGCACCCAGCCGTTCTTGGTGCATTGAGCTGTGCTTCTTCCAGTCAATGCTTTAAAATGAAATCCAGGATCACACTCTATTGTGATTATATCACCTACTCCGTAGTTGTCTTTTCGAGGTCCAAAGCCCCCATGGGGAATTCTTGGAGGATAGCATACAATTTCTAAATAAAAATATTTTTTAAAAAGATGCTAATTTGGAGAGTATGTTAATATTTACTGCATAATTTCTTATTTTTATAGCATTTTGACCATAACTGCGTAACATTTAAAAAAACATATTTTGTAGGGCAAAGAAAAGGGTTAACATTCCTTCCCACTCTTAGAAATTTACAGCTCTGTAAGAGGAGAGTGACAGCTGTTACTGACATCATGTTAATTAGAAGATTAAAACTTAATTGCAGAGAGAATGGTTGAAGCAAGAACTAGAGGTGATGAAACTGAATGTGACTAATCTTTTCCAGCAGGCCATTCAACAGCTGGAGCTCAAAATGACCTATGCTGTGCTCACAGCTCTCCTGGACTGCTTTATGGATACTGTCCCAGAGGAGAACAGGTTCACTGGCAGATCCTCAAAGGAGAAATAACTATCCTTAACTAGGAATGGGTAATTCAAAAGACTGTATGATTAAGATTAGTGTCTTGCACTGACACTAGAAGTATTTCAACAACTGAGAAAGGATGAGAATGCTATTCGTAAAAAGATCATGAGCTCCATGCTCAGAGAAGCCAAGGAAACACATTATTTATGAGCCAAAGCCTGTCTTTCAGGTCTTTTTGTACTCCCAACTTAGAAAATACTGCCAACACACTCAGGGCTAAGAGGGGATGACTATAAGGTAACTACAGGCTGGTCCTGCTGTGGAGTGAAGGCGGCCTATCAGCTGTATGCGTGTCCTGCTGAGTCATCTAGGTCCAGTGGTATGTCAAGTAAGACTCAAAACCAACTATGTGAATATGCCCAAGTATCAGAGACCAGTATATCAGTGTCTGGAGAAATGTTTTTGTTTGCACTTCTCAAAAGCTGTTGCTGAAATATAGACAGTGCATATTAATTATTATCATTACTAAACTTGAAGCATAAAGGTCAAGAACTGAGTGGGTACTAAGACGGACTACTCTTTATTTCTAGAAGAGTCTTTCTGGAAGAGGTCCAGGAAGGTGGGTGGTACATACCATCCTACAGTGTTGCTCTGTTGCCAATATTTTTTTCCAGTTTCAAGTGCTAGGCAATTTATTGAAGACAATTGGACAATTTCCCCCAAATTTACATCAAGCTATTTCAACTGTGATATGACATGCATATTTCTGTTTGTGGGGTTTAGAGATTTAATTATAGTCTTTAAGTGATACAGTTGAATGACACTAAAGTAAAAGGCATGACCCAGAGGGCTGATGTGAAACAAGACTAGCCTCAGAAATTGTGGATTTGTCATCTTAACTGCTCAAAAGGCATTTAGGAGTTACAAAGGAAGGAGTTTCAGCATTGTAAAAATATTAATTTGTATAGACCCTCTTTGAAAGGCAGCCACTGACTTGTATTGGTTTGTTCATATTAAATGCACTTTAAAAGGTATGGAAACTTAATGTGAAGACAATAGGACTTCAAAACCCATACCACTTATCTAAGAAATCTGTTTTGTATGTTAATTTTCCCATGCCATTAAAAATTGCAGGTTAATTCTGTAGTTCAGATTTCTCTGGTAATAATGCTTGTTGTTGTTTTGGTTTTGGGGGGGTTTTTTGGGGTTTGTTTTTTGTTTTGTTTTTTCTTGCTTAAATATCCTTTTTAGGGTTTCATTTTTCCATTCCTTAGACGCAACATTTTCCTCATATTTTGTAGAAGGTAGAGATGCAGCTTTATCCTTTCTATTTGTCCAAATCAGGATTTTTTTCCTAACCCAATACATCTTTTTGCTGTGTTCACCTCACTGATTCAGAATCATATAAAAAAGAACAAAATAACAACAGCTACTAATGCTGCATGACGCATTTTAGAATCAACCTCATTTATGCAGTATACTGGAACACTTGTTGCTTCATAGACCTAGTTAACTACAGTCAGGTAGCAAAAGACTGAATTAATCATTTTTGCTACTGTTCTCTATGGAAAACTCTTACGCACTTGTTTAGTCCTTTTAACACTCAATCCTTCCAGATCTCCATTGGATATTCATCAGATATGGGTAGATTTATTTTGCTATGAATAAACCAAATTTTGCCATTACTAATCTCTGAAATTACTTCCAAACACAACAAATATGCAAGGCTAACCAGTGCAATGGGGGGTGGGATTCCATCCTGATTCAGTACATCTCGCATCTGCTCTTTCACCATATCTGTATCCTTCATCACAGGCAAACAGCAGTTGATCAGATTCCTTGTAAGACCTCTTTGGAGAACGTACATATCCATGCAGAATTTTTGGCACCTCACAGATAATCTCTGAAATTGGGAAAGACAAAATCCATATATTTATTATTTTTTATTTGCTGAGAATAGATGCCTATTGTTTCCTTGTAACTTCCAGCAAATCTAAAGCTCTCTCATAGCCAGTAGACGATTCCCTAAATTGTGGCATCAACAGGAAAAAGAAATGAAACTATCTGGAAAATTGACACTAGAATGCTTCACTATCTGCAGAAGATCCTCAGCATCCCCAGCTCATTCCCAAAACAAATAAAGCCACTGAGATATTGCTATTTCAAAACCTGCACTCGTAAAGCCAGAAAATACTCAAGGCTTTTTTTCCTAGGCCACAAAGAAGGACACCAAAGAGTTCTCTTGGATTCCTTTGCTAGATTCACTTTGAATATGGGATGAAATACCGCTGTTTATCTAATATTCACTATGTTCTGCAAATATTACAAAAGCACATGTGTTTAATCACACTTTTTGCTGTTTGAATTATAATAAATGAATAAATGGGGATTTCAAAGCAACAAAATGCAGTGCTGAAATTGTGAATAAAGCATATATGTATCCAGTATCCTTACATATGTACTCTTCTTTTCTAGGCACGTATTTCCCAATCGGATAACATAAATATTCTGAGAAACTTCCTGGGATTCCATCTTACATACAATTTCTATCTGCAAAAGGGAAGGAATAACCCCATCCACCAGCACAAACTGTGGGCAGGACAGGGTGGGGTCAACTGGCTGAAAAGTAGCTTTGCAGATAAAAACTTGGCAGTCCTGATGGACAATCTGAACAGCAATGTGCCTTTGCAGCAAACAAAGAAAACAGTGTCCTGGACTCCACTGGGAAGAGTGTTGCCAGTGGGTCAGAAGAGGTGATCCTTCCCCTCTACTCAGTACTGGTCAGACCAAATCTGGACTGCTGTGTTCAGGTCTGAGCTCCCCAATACAGGAAAGACATGGACATACTGGAGCAGGACCAGTGAAGGGACATTAATATAATTAAGGAACTAGAAAAACTGACAGACAAAAATCGGTTTAGAGAGCTTAGAGAAAAGAAGGCTTGAGGGAAAGGGAGGATCTTATTATTGTGTATATGTTTAAATTCCAGACAGTGGTGGGGTACCAGAAGTAAGGATGATGGAGTCAGACCCTTCTCATTTGCACCCAGTGACACGTCAAGAAGCAATAGACTCAAACTGAAATATAGGAAATAGCACTTAAATGTAAGTAAAAACATTTTTACTTAAGAGTGGTCAAACACTAGAAGGGGTTATCCAGAGATGCTGTGGAATCTCCATCCTTGGAGATGTTAAAAAGCTAGCTGGACATTGTCTGGAGTAATTTGCCCTAGCTCCCTGCTTTGAAGGACCTTCAGAGGTCACTCTCCACTTACTCTTTGATTCAGTGGCTTTTTAAAAACTAAACATGAAACAGCCTCCTAACTTGTCAAAACACATTAGCCTGAAGAAAGAAAAATCCATTATAGATTCAAAATTGTTTGTAATTGGTTGGTTAAAGTTGGTTAAATCAACACTGAGGTCATTTAATCTTACATAGACATACCAAAATTAGTTTCAGAGAAATTGACTGCAGCCTGGAAAATCATACATCTTGTAGTGAAAATGTTGAACGAACAGATGGTCCATTATGACTATATTAGCAACCAATATTCTCTGATTTCTCTTTCTTATCCTACTTCTGCATATATGCAGTGCAGATTGTTTACAGACAAACTATGCTTAATTGCTGTGGAATAAATAAAAGCTTTGTAGTTCCCCATATGTCAACTAGTCCTTAGAAGTTTGTGAGAATAAAGCTTCTTAGTTACAGATAATAAATAATGTCCTTTTACCTTGGCACTCAGGCACATCACTATTCCATTTCCCATTAGAAGAGCAAATTAATTCTTTAGATCCAACAAGTCTGTATTTTGCATTACATTCAAAATTTACAACCTCGCCAAAGGAATATTCTCGGTCTAGCTCAAATGCACCACTCATAACCATTCTTCCATTTTCTGGTGCTTGTACAGGTAAGCACTTTGCCACTGGAAAATAAAACAAAAGCAAAGGAAAAAAACAGCCTTTTTGAGGTCTATTCTGTAAAATGAATTGACACACAGAAAAGTTAAAATACAACAAATTTGCTGTAATTCCTTACACATTTAAAAAATATACATTCTTGTTAAGTATTGAGATACCATTTGCAACAGATATACAAAATCCTAAGCAAAAAGACAGACTGACATAGGAGGAAGCTTGTATACCAGCTCTCATCACCCTCTTCTCTACTCTTGAAGGCTAAAGAAAGAGCATCCACTGAACTAGAAGACCTCATAAAGTCTTTCCCAATCTAAATTATCTTATGATCCTATGAATTCTATGGATGGTTAGATAAGCTTTGACTGACAGGGTCATTAAACTTTGTCAAAACAGGTTAATTTACCTTAGAGCTATGCCAAACTGAATTTGCTATAGACAAATATCTCAAAAAGTGTTGTGTTATAAATTGACTACAACAATTTAGTTACTAACTAAAAATCCTAGTTAAGGATATCAGAACAATCACATTCCTAAAGTGAACAAACATCATGAGAGCCATGAATTTAGACCACTTGTATCTCCTAACTTTGTAACTGCAGAAAAAGGAAGAATTAACATACGTCATCTTATATTTCTTACTAAGTGAGAAAATACTACCAAAGCTCATTCTCAAATGTTGACATACATGTCACCAAGTATGTATGGAAGTGCTTGTTTTGCCTACCATAGCTCCCAATTCTCCCTGAAAACATTGTCCATCATACAAACTATCTGCTTTTTCTATGAACTCACTTTCTATCCTCCATTTTCCTCACAATTAGGACATTATACAAATACTTTCTTCCATAGGCAATCATATTTCAACCAAATGGAAACTCCTCAATCACGAAAGAAAAGCCTTTGAAGAACTTTGAAACTGCAGTATCTTGGTGACAAAAAAAAATAAAAATAATTGGAAACCACTGCTCTTTACTGTGCAGATAGAAACCTGTATGACTAAAATTGAAGACTCTCAAAATCCACTATACTAAATGTGAAATATCTGAGACCAAGGAAATGACAAAACACAGACAAGAAACTCTAAACAAGAAATAGAGATCTACTTCCATTTGTGATTCCTTACTTAGAGACCCTTCCCTGCATTAGATGCTTAACTGAAAGAGAAATTTTACTGCTGGGACCAGTTAAAAATTATCTTTGGTAAGAAAGGAAGCTTATTTTCATAACCAAACATGTTTCAAACATGTTGGAAAAGATTTCCAAAGTCATGTAAGTATCATCTGAGTCATCCAGTCTATTAAGTCTAGAGGTCTGAGTCTCTTGTGCTCTGATTCTTGCTTACTGAAGTTCTTCTACAGTATGCTAATAGGGAGAGGAATGTGTAACAAAAGCTTAACAGGTAAGATATCAACAAGGGTGGAGGAGTAAAGTAGCTAAAAATGCACATACCTTCACATACATCCAAAATGCCTCATTCTAGCTGTCTTTTGAAATCATATTCTGTAGACATCTACTCTACCAGGGCCTTTAGGTGAGGCAGAGCTTTATGTCAGTCTGGGGTGACAAGACTCTGTTTTTTGAATGCTTTTAAGAAAGGTTTGAGTGCTTATTGGATTAGAATGGCTGAGCAGCTACTGAGTTTCATTGATCCATAACTTAAACATATGTGAATAAATACTAGTAGAGAAATCACAGACTAGTTCCAAACAGTATCAGACAGATAAAAAGACAGTTTGTTAAAGAATTATATTTCAAACTACTTTTACCTTCACAGTGAGGGATGTCATTGCTCCATCCATTTGCCTGACACTCACGGTAATTTCTTTGGCTGAGCATCTGGTATCTTACCAAACAAAAAGCAATACTAAAATACAGGCTTACTATGTGACAGAAACAGCAGTGCTGCTGTTTTTGAAGCACAGGAAGTAGGTTTCATAAGTTCTAACACAGACTAAACAAAACATTACAAAACTAAGTATATTTTTGGCTCATCTCTTCCCCATTTTATTTCTTTTAATTGCATAGGGCAGAAAAGATGAAAAAAACCTGAAAGTAGGAAGTTATCAGTAAGATAGCTTCTTTATTTGCAGAGACAGCCATCTTTGGCTACATAATAAATAACCTAGGGGTAATTTACACAATCAATAGCAAGCAGAGTAAAACTCCTGTTGCCTGTGCTCTAGTATGACTGAAAGCCATGTGAGAGCATCAAAGTAGGACTTAATCAAAATCATACATATCTCATGCTTTAATAAGCTGGCATTATTTTAGGTTTGAGGGCAACATGGCCACAATGTCATTGCTTACTTAATTAAATACAATGCTATAGATTTGCCTTGTTGCAGTTTTCATTGGATAAAATAAATAGAGGACAAAGAGAGGAGAATTTCTTCCAAGCAATCAGTGAAGACATGTTAGTGAGTCTACCAGAAACGTCTTCATTCAAACATTTTTGACAATACATTTTACTTCACAATGCACAAAATTATTTAAGATTAGGAGATGACCTAATGACTAAACATAACTAACATAACTGCATCGTGACTGCCTACTGAGAGCAGATTCTAGCATGCAAAACTGCATTTCTATCTGAACTGCCTGGCTGGTGGGGTCACGAGGCAGCTTTACAGTGTTTTTGTCTTCTACTCAGACAGTCATGATTTCAAGTTAGCTACAGCTTTACTTATATTACTTTAGACACCTTTAGGTGCATGGTTGTCCAAGTGCATGAGTTCAGTTACTCCAATAGCACCAGACATGAGAAAGAGTTATCTTTAGTATTACTATAACTGCAAAAATGTAAATGAAACAATAACCAAGCATCAAATATTCCTAAGTTGAAAGCTGCATTACAGACAACAAATATTTTAACATTAACGCTCTATGATAACTCCCATATATTGAATTAAGTATTACCCATCATTACATCTGTACTCAACCCTGGCACCAAATACAAATTCAGTTCCACTGGTAAGCTCAAAGTAACCAAACTCAGTATCTCCAGGATGTCCACAGGGCTTATCTAGTGTATACAAAAAAAGAAAAAAAGAAAAGAAAAAAAAAAAAGAAGAAAAAAAGAAATTATTTAAGACCATACATAGGAATTTGCAAGTGTGAAAGAGAGCACTTTTCTAGTAACTAGTAGCAAGTATGGGCCTTGCAAAAATGCTCAGAATTAGCTTGGTTAACCCCCCTCTTAAAATCACTACAGAAAACAAATTAACAGTTTTTATTCCTTTAAAAATGCTGAACTTGTGTTAAGTTTGGATGTAACTTCAGCTTTTCATACAACTTGTGACATAAACTGGTTCAAAGCTTCCACTACAGAATCCATCCATGACTGGAAATGAAATTTCCTCAGTCTGATGGGAATTGTGGCAAGTAAAGAGGGAAGATCTAAGGCCATAGGAGCTTTGTGGTCCTCAGTCTTTTCTGCCTAAGTTCCCTGTATGACTTTTCTTGTGCTCTGACTGTAACTATTTGCCCTGGATTCCCAAAGGAATTGTAAAGATGAACACAACATCCCTCTCATTCATCCACTGTTGATGTTACAATACAGACTGCAAAATAAACTGCAGAGCTAAAGCCCTATTAGGCTGCCTCAGGAGAAATCTTTCCTGCTCCCTGTCAACCTAGGCAGTTTCATTTCTTGGAGGGTATCAACATCCTTGTTTTCTCCAAGGAAGAGGTGTTTGAGTAGGTTGTAAACCTGCTCCAGTGCGCTTCAGAGAGAAGGGACCTCATGAACAATACTGCTGTCTAGGGTGACCTATTCTGAAACGTGAACGTGATCACTTTACCTTGCCAGTGTTGTTATCTGTTCACTGGGTGGCAGTATTTACTAAAATATGTTACTGAAAGCAACAACATATTTTGCATATTTGAAAGATCTCTGTTGACAGACTAGTTATACAAATAAGTATAAAAACTGAGAAGGTGACTAAATAAAAAAATAAAAATAAAGTAATAATTTTATTAATTAATTTTTACTCATGATTTTTATTAATCTCTGACACCTAGGACTTAAAGTTTATATTATTGAACCAAATACTTACATACTACTAGCAATAATGTTGTGTTCGATATGTAAGAAAAAAGGCTCATGTGTCTAAAATTTCTTTGTGTTTAAACTCATTTATTACAGAAAAGTATCTGATGACTAACATTAACAAACTGCAATTTCTTTGCTAATGAATTCTGTATGAGTGTGTGAGATGCTTCTAAACTTTTAACACAGGATAACAGAGATAATAAATAGCAGCTCTCATCCTAATAATGGATTTTTACTTCACTGAATAAAAGACAAGGTAGGGAAAAATAACTTCCCACTTCCACAAAATTTTATCTTTCATAGAACTAGTTGAATAAACAGAGGACAATACTGTCTCTTGACTTGCATTCAGAAGCTAGGTTACAGATTAATTCTCCTTAGACTGTAATTTTCATCTGCATTAGACTTTTTCCTAAAATTTTGGAAGTAAGCTTCTAATTACTTTATACTTTATAATTACTTTATAGTTTAACATAAATCAGGTTAATACAGCAGGCCTAGAGTATCATCTTCTATTGTAAAGACCAAAGAAAAAGATAATCCTTTGATCTGGAGAAAATGAACTTTTGGAAACGTTTCCTTATGTGTACACACTTTTTAGAATAGTATTTGAAAAGAGGCTGAAGTTCCGGGTAAAGATACAATGGCAATTTGAAACTGACATCACGGGCAAAAACCTGATCTGCCAGGTCAAAGGTTTGCTCATATTTTGCACAAATGCTTACTTTTGCATTCTGCTGCTGGGAGGTTTTGCTTCCATGCTCCATCAGCACACTCAAACACAATTCTTCCAAGTTTTATATATCCAGGTCGACATCTGTATGTTACTTTGGTACCATGTGGATAGGGAGGTTTGTCCCATCTTTCAGTAGGCACTTCTTTAACCCTCCTAGGAGGAGGTTCTTCACAAGCTGAAAAAAATATTATTTACATGAAAAAATATAATTGATATTATTGACATTGACAAATACCAAAACTATTTTACAATTAAAAATGTAGCAAGAAATCCTGGGAACATTTGTGATCAAATGAGCATGTGCCTTTTGCTTAATCATCACAAAACAGGAAATTGCCAAGAATCCACATTTTGTAGGAATATGAATAGAAGGACACAATAGCCAAGCAAATGCCAAGAAATCACACGGGACAGCTATAATGAATGAAATAGATTTAAGTTAGAAAGACTAAGATTACTGCCCTGGTTCTAACCACAGACACCTCTTACCCTTCCACCTGCAGGAGCTCCTCCACGCCTGTCCTTCCAGTACTGCATAGAACAATTTGTGCAACTTGTAGAGCTTTCTTTCAAAATATTCTCTTCTGCAGCCACTACCATCCTTGCTGACATTAAGCTCATGTGTCATTTGGTCATGTTCTGTCAAAGCTCCCCTCCCCTTTACATTGCCCAGACTTTCCTTCCAGGCTGAAATCACCTGATACTCCTAAACTTATTTTCTCCTGTCCATGAGATTACTTCTTATGATTTATTACATGATGTAATTAATTCTGGGTATTCACTTTGACCTTAATTATCTTCCAAGCATTTTTACTCAGTTTAAGGGGTAGATGGTGTTGTTTTAATTAATATTAAAAAAAGCATGCACTAAATGTAGACCTTAAATTTCTTTAGCGAGACACTCAGAGAGCTGGAATAAACCATTTGGTATGTATGTGACTTGACCTTAGTCAGAAATAGCTCGTTGCCTTCTTGCCATCATTGTGCTGGCAGCAACTTCCATAAAGTCAAGTACAAACTATAAAATCAGGTAGACGTATTTTTCAAGAGCCCTTGTGCTCTTGAACACCTCACACAGACTTTCAACATGAAGCTTGACCTAAGAATCGTGCATGACTCATGGCGATAGTTGTTCCAGATAAATAAAATATTGCTACATTAACATTCCTTTGCAATCTCTCTGATGTAAAGAAAGCATTGTGAAAAAGAATTGCAAATGCAGGCAAATGTCCTTTTTAAATTCCAGTACTTTTCTGGATTTCTTTACAAGCAAATTAGTCTTCATTAGTTGCTTTGAAGCTGTATTTATTGCAAATCTATCTGAAAAAAAAGATTACAGATTTCATTAGTGTCCTGATTTTTCTTTTTTTCAAAGTCAAATCCATCAGACTCTTTTGATAAATGTCTTAATAGTCTTCACCTAAAATTAAAAACAACTTGAACCAAACAAAGACACACTAGCTCAAAAGCACATAATACCCTTTCTGCAACAGCCCATGCAAAGATGTCAACAGAAGGCAAAATATTTAAACTACTAAACATACATAAAGCAACACAAACACAATATATATAAAAAAACCAAACTGAACAGAGAAACAGAAAATATCAGAGGCTTCTGAAAAGATACCCTCAGAATACCTCCTTAAACATGTACAAAAGCATACACATAGACATTTATCTCATGTAATGGTTTAAAAACAGTCTGTCAGTCATCAGACATTTTGTAAGCTTTTCAGTCAATTTAGTAATCGTTTGTCTTAGATCATCTCACAAATTGTTCCAGATAGGAGTAAGTACACATTTATGGAATATTTTCTATTTTAATATACCAGCTGTTTACAGGTTTTAGATATTAGAATAATTAACAAACACAAGTAATTAAAAAATGTGTTGTCTGGCCCTAGTTTATAGGTATAGTAACCATTTAAAAAGTTGTGCAACTGCTTAATAACAGCAGTAGTTATCCAAATAAATAACCTACAACAGGAACTAAAAACTAAAGGTGCTAAATGCCACCAGAAGAAATCACAATTACTGTTATTAGAAGTTCATTAAAATAGGCTACAATGCAACTATTTTATTTATATATTGCTTTAGTTACCATCTTCACATATACTTCAAAAAAGGTGTTGGTTTGTTGTTTTGGTTTTTTTTTTCCATATAAAAGCTTACCTCTTTCTGCAGTACAATACATCCAACATAAAATCAGAGTAGTATAGCCCAAGAAGAACATCTTAAAGAGATTCAGAAACTCAGCAAAGTCATTTATTATTGTAGCCTCCTTTTCTCAATTGTTTTGTGTTATTTCCACTCCTGTTTTACTCATTAACTGCTGCTGGGACTGACCTTGCCAAGCATTTATACTGTGATTTCAGCAGTCACTTCCCCTATTGCTCTTGCAACACACAAGTGGTTTTTTTTATTTTGTTGTGTTGGGTTTTTTTCCCACTCCAAACTTCACTAAATGAAAAAGTAAACAAAAGGCTGGCAATTTTGGTTGTCACAGTCTTTCCCTGCAGCCTGCTTGTTTTTAAGATCGTATCTCATTTTTTTTCATATTAATCCCTTTCATAGAAAATCTTATTTCTTCTGGAATGCAAAAGAAGTTGGATAAATAAATTCTTTAGTAATTCCTTATGTCTTGCAAGCTTAATTAAAAACCAGAAATTCACATTAAATATGTATAAAAATAAACTTCTCTACTATACACAGATCATTCAAAATCTGTGCTGAAAACAATTGGAACAAAAAGCAGACAAAAATACAAAGTGACTTATTAACTCACTGGTTCTTGTATAAGATAACAACTACCCAGAGACAAGGAAATATACTCAATCAAATGCACCCCAGGTGATGTTGAAGCACTTGTTTCAGTATCACATGTGAAGATGGGGAAGATATTAATGAATTGTAAGACGGATAATGAACTATCCAAAGGAAAATAATAAAGGTTGTTCTAAAAGATGAACTATATAGCAAAATGGGCTAACAGAGGAACTCATAATGAATTATTGTAAGCAACAATCATTAATATTTTCATTAAAAGTCTGGGCTTTATAATAAGTGCACTTCAGTCAAATTGTGGATCATATGAAGAAAATTATTTGATATTAAAAATTAGGGAAAAAATGGGAGAGTACAAAGTGACCATAACATTCCTTTAAAATTCACTGGCTTACTTAATCTACTGATATAGGATAAAAAGCAGTGTGTTTAGAGAACAATCTCAAATCAGACTTGAATACCAAAGCTGTTAATTTCTGTGGGGTTTGTTTCCTCCCTCAAGATGCAGCTGGAATTAATTTATTATTATTTTTTTAACCTGGGCTGTGTTTCCAGTTACCAGTTCTATGGAAAGGTCCTAATGAAAACTAGCATTCAGCTGTTTCACAAACAAGAACTCTCTCAGATTGAATAACAGCTCTTCCTTCATCTCCCCCTTTCTTTTGCCAAGTAACTCATGTGTGGGTAATGAACTCTGTTTGCTCCATGCCCCTGTGATAATTGGTCTGCATGCATTTTGCAGTTAATGGTCCCCACCTGATCAGTAAAGATTTTTCTTGCACCTGTCAAAGCTAAGTTCCAAGAAACACCTCCTCACACAACTTCACTGTCCAAATCCCTAATTCCTTTTGTTCTGTGGTAGAGAAGCGTGTGCTGCTGCAAACAGCAGTGCTCTAACTGCACCAAGACATCTTCGCTGCACCGACCTTACTGCATCACCATAGGTGCAGTTTTATTGAAATACTTATGGAGTATTAAACCACTTGCCAAATCACCATGGGCTTGAAACACACTGGTTTATTGATTTATTAACAGCACATAATTAACTGCCAATCAGTGAAAGCTACATTCATGTTTAGTCTCACAATACAACAGTTAAGACACTGTTAATAGTAATAAACACCTAACAAATTCTAAAGGACCGTTTTTTCACTAAGTGCCCAAGGTTTTAACCCTGCACACAAAGTTGTCCACCCACCCCCAGAAGTTTATACACAGTCTTCCTCTCACACACACCTGTAGGAGATATGCGTGCTTAGTGTGTACTTGTCAGGAAAGGTTTTGAAGCAATGACAGGAGACATGTTGTGTCCAACTCTAAAATTATTTTGTACCACACTTCTGATTACTCCTGTTTAAGTAGCACCTCATTCTCCTGTCTTGGTGCTCTGTACTCAAAAGCGAAGTGAAAATTACTTGAAAAGGTGTTCTTTGCCAATAAAAGACGCTCTTCTATATAACTATTCCCTTCACCAGTCCAGTACAAAACCCAGCTACCTAGCAAAGAGGTGACATAAGCATTTATTTCTGAAGAAACATTGCCTCTACTGGACAGCATTATTATTATTTATGATACAGTAGTATTCAGACCATCCCTACCCCCACACTGTACTGTAAGATTCAGAATGAATGAAAAATGGGCCTAAACACTAACAGTCAAGAAACTAGTAAGCTGTAAGAAATGTATATTTAAACTAACATAAAAGGGACAAAACCAATATGCTCATGTCGACCTAACTTACTAGGAAGTTCTTTTTGAGTAAAGGACGTGGAAGATGAGAGTGGTATTGCAGTGGCAATTCCTTTTCAGCGAGGAGTAAGCAAGAAGTAAGAAAACCATTATGGTTTCAAATTATAATATGTGGGAATAGAGAGTATTAAGAAATTATGCCAGACAGCAGTAATAATGTAATAGGAAATGACACAAAAGAATAAGGCAAAATCCAGGGAGTCCTTGGAATTGAAATGGAAATAAGCAGTTGATTTTTGGTATGTTGTTATGGTCACAAAATAGGGAAGGTAAAAAAGCCTGCTGTTACCCAACAGTAACTGACACACAAAAACAGAGGTCTAAGAAAAAATGTAATATGCCAGAGCTAGATATGCAAGGATCTAAAATTACAGTCTCAAAATACTGTGGGCCCTGTAAATCTTAATCTGCTCAGCAATGTCCCTTTGCTTTCCATCAGCCTGAAGAAGCAAAAGTAGTGGGTAAAGGTAAAATGAAGATTATTTGACTAAAAGGTCATTTTGCCCTCCTGCAACTCAATAGGAACCCACTCAGGCGTCCTGGCCTGAACTATGTCCATTACTAAATACTACTAGTATACAGCGGTGATACATATGCTTTTTTGACACATTTAAACAGCCAAAATTGCAGTCAATGACCTGAAGTGCTTAAAGCCATTAAGGCATCCTCTAGATCACCATTTCACACTGATGGCATTTCTAGTCACATACTCCACAAAATTTTGAGGGACACTCTTCAAAATACTCCTCTCACCAGTTTTTGTTATTGGTTTGATTTAGCCTTCCAGATGCATTCAGAATGCAGGATGCTGTGGCTCTCACTACAGCATGGTAACTTTAGTCCTATAAGGCATCAATGTCTTGCACTTTGGATTTGAGATTGCTTTTGGAGTTGATGGTCTGAAAGACAGGCAAAAAAAAAGTTAAAAAAAAAAAAAAGTGAGCAACTAAAAAAAAGCCTCAAAATGAACTTCAGGGTGTTTTACTTATTTTTCAGCCAAGGAGCTTTTCAGCCTAACAATTTACTAGTACTGATAGACAATAGCAAAAAGCATGTAAAGTTTGCAAAGGCGACATTTCTACTTACTGTTTTTCACTACATCCTAGACTACCCCTTAAGGTGAGTATCTTGTGTGTGTCTGCTCACTGAATTAACTGAATCCTATTCAGACAATATTAGACTTGAAAGGACAATAAGCACAAGTTACTCACATTACAGAACTATTTAAAAGGATTTAGTGTGCATTTGCTTCATAAATGCCTCATCCATCTTCAGCTTTGGTTTTGAAAGTTTATCTTCATCAGTGTTCTTTCTTACCCCAACCACAATCTCATAATAATATTTAAGACAATAAAAACAATAGTTTGGATAATAAACATATCAGCTGGGGAAGACAACTCTCTGAGTCATGACATACAGTTGAAAAGCAATCGAGGGAACACGAGTAAGAACACAGGCTGGTAGGACTATTTCACCACCACAGCACTTCAGGAGGGAGAAATTCACCAGCTTACCATGGGCAAAATTTTTTTTCAGTACCAACAGTAAAGAATGTCCCAGTGAGTATCAATAATTAAACTAATTAATAATAAAGAAAACCTTATAAGCTTTTTGGAAAAAAAAATCAAGATATCAAAAACTAATCTGATAATCTTATTTATTTTATTACAGTAGAATGCATAATTCGTATTCAGATAGAGGGGCAGAACATCTTTAATTAAGAATTGTATTAATAACCTATGTATACCTTCATATAGACTGCAACAGTTCACACGAAGTCCAGAAGCCATTTGCATTGTGCCAGCCTGTTTTACCTATACTTCATCAGAAATGTAAGTATCCTAAAAAAAAAACCTAAATACTTTTTTTGTACTTTTTGGACCTCAGTATGTTACAACATTTTTATCAATTCACAAGCAATAAACTCAGCAACACAGTTTTAACCCTCTTCTCTCTCCCAAACTTTAGAGTTAAATACTTGAAAATAGTTACCTACCAGTATCAAGCCAGTTAAAAAAAACCACAACAAACAACAAACCAACAAAAAAATAGATTGATTCAAGTCTATTTTCAGTCCCCAAGTCAGGGCCACAGATGCTTCTGACACTTAACTGGGCCAGAATCATCCCAGGAGTACAAACCTACATTTACTCCTTTAAGGATCTGAGCATGGCTCACAGCTTTTCCTTAACACACAAACACAGCAAGAGGAATCACAGAATCAAAAAAAAAAAAAAGTGAGCAACTAAAAAAAAGCCTCAAAATGAACTTCAGGGTGTTTTACTTATTTTTCAGCCAAGGAGCTTTTCAGCCTAACAATTTACTAGTACTGATAGACAATAGCAAAAAGCATGTAAAGTTTGCAAAGGCGACATTTCTACTTACTGTTTTTCACTACATCCTAGACTACCCCTTAAGGTGAGTATCTTGTGTGTGTCTGCTCACTGAATTAACTGAATCCTATTCAGACAATATTAGACTTGAAAGGACAATAAGCACAAGTTACTCACATTACAGAACTATTTAAAAGGATTTAGTGTGCATTTGCTTCATAAATGCCTCATCCATCTTCAGCTTTGGTTTTGAAAGTTTATCTTCATCAGTGTTCTTTCTTACCCCAACCACAATCTCATAATAATATTTAAGACAATAAAAACAATAGTTTGGATAATAAACATATCAGCTGGGGAAGACAACTCT